CATTTGACCACCTAACGATTCCTTTCGAGTTGAACACAAATTCTCGCTGTAAGAGACATGCAAGGTCATCCATCCCTGAGCTGTTTACAAGGGGTTTAAGGTTTTGTTGGAATTTATCATCTATTGACCTTTGCCTCGTGTTTTTTCTTTTTTTTTTTTGTTTTGTTCTGTTTTGTAAATAATGCAACCGGAAGCATTATTAGGGCTTTGGGATAGAGGCCAGGTTTGAATCTAGCGCTGACACTTTCAAGCTGGGTGACCTTGGTGTAGAGAAGAACTGGATTTTGGTTACCCATTTGCAACGTAGAGAGAACATTACTCATTGCGCCCCTCCCCACCTCAAGTTCTGTATGAAGAAGAGATGATGCGTGTGAAGTATGTGAGGACCCAATGCAGGTGTTCAGAGTGAATTCCTCACCCTTTCCAAAGAAACACCCATTCACTGGATCACTCAACAAATTTGCCCCTCGCACGTAGTAAATGCTAGGAATCACGCTAAGTTCTGGAAATACAGTAGTCAAGGCAGATAAGGCCTCTCCGTTTATGGAGCTACCGGAGACAGACAGATATGAAACATCTAAGTACTACTGTCAGATGTTTATCAGAATCTGATAAACTGGAAATCTGATCAACTGGAAATTTGATAAAGAGTCACTGTAGGAAGATAGAGAGAATATCAAGGAGTATTTAAGGAAGGCTTCTCTGAAAAATTGACATTTAATCTGAGACTTGAATGACAATAATAGAACCAGTCATCCAGCCTCAGGGAGGGACAGAGGCAAGGCCAGTGGTGCTGTAAGCAAAACCAGGCAGTAGATAAGGTTATGGCCAGCAGGACCCAGATCACAGACTCTGTAAGTCATAGAAAGAGTCTGGAACGTACTGTAATGAGACGTTATTAGAGGATTTTAAGTGCCAGAGTCTCTTAATTAGATTTGTTTGAGGGGCAGACAAAGGCACAATTATGATCTATTTGTGAAATTTAAAAAATCTGTCTTCATTAGACTGAAGAGCAGCTAGTAGAGGATCATGTAAAATGAAGTTATGATAGATAATGTGGTCCAGAAATGGGTTTAGAATTGATGTGATTTTTCTAAAAACAAAGAATAAAAGGTGCCATTAAAGGTTGTGATATGAAGCCGCATTTAAGTGATAACCATTACACTGTAGCCTGTGGAATATCTTTGGAAGGAATTTTATTCCCTTTCAAAGCAGAAAAAAAAAAGAGGTAAGAAATAGAATTCCTCCTCCTGGAGAAGGTGTCTTCCTCCAGGATTTCGGTGTGTATGTAGATGCTGAAATTAGATGAATTCATGTAAGGAAAGGGCCTGGCCCGGTGCAAAGTCAGGCAGGCAGAAGACACTCGATAAATTCTAGGTCCTCCTCTTCTTTTCTCCTTCCCCCTTGGACCAAAAGCCACTGGTATGCAATTCCTAAAGGACGGGTGGGGAGTTGCCAGAGAGAAAATGGAGGAAACTACCCTCTTCTAGATAAAGACGCACTGCATGGGTTCACTCAACTTTTAACGGTTCCCATATTTGATGCTCCATTCTAGTTGTAATGCCAACGGAAGGTCTCTGAGACACCAGAGGTGTACACATTTCATTTTCTTTTAAAAGCAAAAGAAACCTTCAAAATGAGAATGACTCCAAATCCAAAGATGCTGGCTCAAGTTAGAATTTCTATGATACCATAGTCATTGTTTTCTGAGCGTGCAAGGGGAGGAGGGTATTATGAAACAACACAGTAACTTATTAGAAAAGCTGTAATGACTTGCTCTCTTTTATGTGGGTCTTGACTCAGACAACAGTAAAGATAAGGTTATAGTTTGGAGCCTCTTGTAACAGCTTCCTTTTTGGTCTCTGGGACGAATATGCTACTACTGATGAAGAGGAAAAGGTCATCAGAAGAAAAGAGAAAAAGAGTAGAGTAAAGGCAAATTTTCAAACAAGCTTGAAACAATGTAAAAGTCCAGCATTTGACCAAAACACCTACACTCAATTCTATTGACAGCTGAAGTCAAGGCACAGGGGTGAAGGCACAGGGGTCAGGTGGTCTAGGGACAAAGGTCACAGATTTCTCTATTCCAATCCAGAAAAGAATTGCAATAGATCTTATCATGCTCGTTAAAGACCCATTTTCTCTAGAGTTCTCCCAGACTTTCTACAAATGTAAATTTCAGCAGGCACCTGAGAGTCTCTCCTCATCATGGACTGAGGCTTCCATTTAAACCAGGCACAGAGCTCTTTTTTGGGTATGGAAAGATCTAGAGGTGTTAACAGAGGAAAATGGCACCCAGTCTCTTTAGTTTTGGACAATTGCTACCAGCCAGACCAAGCAGCTCAATCAACACACAGGTCAGGGCACACTCCTGAGTGTCAGCACCTATGTCCCCGCCCAGTAGCAACCAGACAGGCCACCCTGCGGTTTCCCACACAAGGGCCGTGCAAAAGTGACAGTGGAAACAACCTTTAGGACTGGATTATACACATGGCTGTTTTTGTAAATGGAGCTATTCTGTAACCGGTACATATGGCAAAATTGGAAATAACTTTTTCAGTATTTTCTATAAGAAAAGAATGTACTGGGCAACTTAAATGAATACACACAGGTAAAATCCATGGAAAGGCATGATGTTCCCTGTCATTTTCACTGAACCAATAGTACAATTCAAAACTGTATCTCTATATCTATATCTGTATCTATTCATTCCAATACAGAGTTTGACCAAAAGCAGATTCTTAGAACAATTATAGCACTATGTCTCCACAATCTTAAGATTCCACTGGTGTATTTCTATTAAATATTAAAATGTTGTGAGAGGCAATATAAAATTTTTTTCTCTGCTAGATCTAACAGAATTTATACTAATGTGCTCTATGAATTTCCAAGAGAAGAGTAAAGTGTACAGTAGCTTAAAACTGGATCACAGCATCTCAGGACAGGATATTTTGTTGGACCAGAGAGCTGCGTAGCACAATTTTGGAAATGTTGCTGTAGTGAATTCTACACTGCTCTGTAACATATGAAAACTACCGTACATCCCCTGAGAAATAAATATAAACCCTATGAACTATGAGGTTATGGAATTGAAAAAAAATATGCCAGGCTACCTACCCACCCTATATTACATTAAGGAGTTAATTAATTAATCAATTGGCAATATCTAAAACAGTTATAGATGTTAATCAATAAAGATGCACTAAAATCAATGGAACACACTTGGCCAAGTGAAATACGGTCTCTAGCTGCAATATCAATCCCTCGCTTTCCCCAAAGGAAACGAGCTTAAATCAAAGCCCCATGGCAAGTGAGTGCACGCTCAGGGCTGGCGCACTCTGCCAAAACTAATTTATCCTAGGTCCTTTACCATGGAAAGAAAACATAAAACTCTTCCCACAGCCAAGAGTTCCATTAGAAAATGAACACATCAGCCTCGGCGCAGATACAAATGCTCGCCCTTGATGCTCCTGGCCAACTTTTCTGCTCTGGGTTCCTTTGGAGCTGAGCCCACTGCAGAGCTGAGGAGGAAGGAAGGGCCTTCAACACAGACCACCTCAGCCAACATGGCTTCCGTAACTTGCCCGGAGCCCAGCACCTGGGGAAACTGTGCCTCCCTGTCTGCACGCAGTGCTTGACTTCGGGGGGCAGAGTCAACCTCGAATCATAGCAGCACTGACCACCCAGACTGGCGGTAACCTGTGCTTTGCACTCCGGGAGCCAGCCTCTGCTTCCGCCTCTTTTCCAGTAAGTAAAGCAATGCCAGAGAAAAGGGGCTGGAAATCAGAGCTGTGCAGATCCAAGTCACGCCTGCTGCTTTCTGGGTTTATTGCTCTAGGAAAAGGGTGATGGTGGAGGATGAAAGTGGTGGAGAAATTGAACAGGGGAAGAATCTGTAGCCTTCAAGCCTTCTCAATCCTTCCCTGGTCCCAGATAATCATGAGATAAATGTCCTCTGTGGAATGTTTTACAGATGACAGAAAAAAAAAAAAAAACCACCCAAAGCTATGTTAGATAAAAGTGTTTTGAGGCAGAAAACCAATGCAGTCAACATCCTCTTAATATCATATTTTAGTATAAATAAAAACAATTTGTGTGTGTGTGTATTGGTGTATAGTACCTGTTTGTGTATATATACATACACTCATATGCATACATACATATAAGAAGTCTGGAAGCATGTAAATCAAATTGTTAACAGTGCTACATTTTATTGTATGTCACTTATACTTCAAAAAAGCTGCTTAAATGTTAACAGTGCTTATCTCTGAGTGAGGAAAGATTATAGGCAATTATCTTTTCTTGCTTGTCTGTCTTTTCTAAATTTTCTTGACTATGTATGCCCTACTTCAGTATTAAAAATTATTTTTAAAATCTTACACAATTCATGCGATTTTTTGATGTTTGTGTTGTTCTTTGTACTTTATCAAGTGTTTCTACATATTTAATTCCTAAAGCTGGAGGAAGAACACGATTATTATTCCAGAGGAGGAAGAAAAAGGCTCTGAGATGTTATGGAACTTATTCGAAGTCAATGAACTAGTAACCAGAAGAAGCAAAACGTGACTCTCGATTTCTTCCAAATCCCACGCCTTGTGTTTTCTGTCCCTTGCTGTTCGCTGCGGCTGCGGTCGGGCGCGCTCTGGTGGCTGCACGGACCCCACAGGAGCACGCGTCATACCGCACAGAAGGAGGATAGTTGTTATAGATTTAAGCCAAAAGAAACTTTTTTTTTTTCACACTCAGTGTTGGTTAAGGGAAGAAACGTGAAACACCAAGGGATGCTTGGAGACCCGGGAGGCTCTGTGAGAGGTATAGGAAAACTTTTCACCCTCGATGCTGCATCCTGCGCTCTTGGCTCCGCATCACCCCCATTCAGAAAGGGAAAAGGAAATTTGAAAAAAAAATGGGACCTAACACTTAGGGTGAGAAAGGACAGGTGGCACGGATGATAAAATAAAGCGAGAGGTATTCAGACACTGCTGCCCTGTGGGAGGTACCTTCATTCCTGCGGCGGCGGCGGGGCCGCTGGGGTCCACGGCCTGGATGTGGCATGGCTTACTTCCTCGCACCACAAAGCCCCAGCCGACAGCGTCACCCACGATCTAAAGAGGAAAACCACAGTTAGCCACCCGCAGACAGGCCCTGGCAAAGTGCCTGTCCTTCCGAGGGAGGGAGAGCCAGCCAGGATTAAGTGCATGCAATGGCACATCTCTTCTGTTTCATCTCTACACTCTCAGGGGAACGGAAGGAGCGCTTTGCTTCTGTCATAAACACAGGCCTGTCTATGTGGAAAATGTGGTCAAGAAACACGTGTTGGGCAGAAAGAAGCTCCTTCTGTGAGGGTGCTACTCAGAAAATAACTGGCAGAGGGCCTCTTGGGCTGCTCTGCAATTTAATACTGGAGTCAAACGGTAAGTGTCAAAGGTCTTAAACACACGTGTGAACCTTCTCTCCAGATCCAATTTCTCTCAAGTTTGCTCTTTTCCCCTAAATCCAAATGATACATTCTTCATGATCCTGCTACTTCGCTGAAGCCTAAAGTAACAATTTAAATGACTAATGGTGAGAAATGTGAAGAGTCTTGGCTTTCTTAAAACACAATTTTCTCTACCAACAAAAGAGTGAAAAAGCACACAAAGTTCACAATTTACAAGTAGATGCTGGTCCAAGACTTCTCTGGATCTAGTGGGCGCCTTTTCCTACAGGATGGTTGTTAGAAACGGCAGTTAAATTCCTGGGGCAGCACCCAGACACATCTTTGACTGAAATGCGGATGAAACATATTCACAACCAATTCCTAGCAATACTGGCATTCAAATTGAAAACCAAAAATACAATCAAATGTCTCTTGAATGCTGGAGACTGAGGAAAGGCAGGGAACCCCATGAAACTTTAATGGACACCCTCAAAAAAGACTTTTAGGCACTTCATTGGCTTTTGGGTTTGTGCTTAGTAGTTCATGACACCTAATTTCACCTGCATATGCACCGTTTATCTTTTTCCCTGAGGCAGACGGATTAGCAGCGTGCTTTTGTGTGGACTGGCTGTGACTGGGACCGTCCTATTTTAATTCCTCAGTGCTTGGCACAGGAAGCAGTCCTTGACAAATGTGTGCAGTGTGAATGAGTGTGCAAAGATGTTTTCCCCCTGAGTCAATAACATAAGAGTTAGCAGGGAAATGTTTGAAACAGGAGGTCAATGTAGATGTGAAGAGACTGAAGAAAGGCCCGGGGAAGGAGAATGGGCTGGGTGCTGTCAGGCAGAGCACTCGGATTCTGTTTGAAGACAACCAGTGGGGCTGGGAGGCGTGGGAGGGAGGGGAAGGACCTCCAAGAAGGGGAAGGTGGTCAGGAGGCGCTCACAGGTGTGTGGTGCCGTCCCTCAGATGCTTGCCTGTGTAACGGACGGTGTGCCTACATCGTCAAGAGTGCTATTCCTCCCCATAGAACAATTTACCCCACCGTTTCCTTTCTCTGCCTAAAGGCTCTCCTTGTGTCTTAAGGGATTTTTAGACTTCACTGTAACACAGGAGGAATTGTTGACAGTATCTGTGCTACCATTTGCCCTAGAATCTGTAATTATATTATGATAAGGATACAATAGAAATCTTTTTAAAGGACACATCAAAAGGAGTTTGAAAGCCCACCATTACAATTATGCCAACAACAAAAGGAAAATGAAGAGGTTCTTCAAGTCCATCTGTAAAATACACAATGACACACTGACATGTTGACATGGCCCAGAAAAACGAGCGGAACAGGACAAAAACCAAATAATGAGCCTACCGTGAACGTCTTCCTTGCATACGGTGCTCCGGGAGTCAGGAGTTCCTCAGAAGTGACAGGTCTCTTCAACACTGTAAGACAGACACAATGTCAAGGCGCACCCTTCCGAGCCCTCGTTCATTCATCCAGCAGACATTTTGCCGAATGCCTCGTCTGTGACCATCAGCGAACAAAAGGCAGAAAGGTCCCTGGCCTCACAGTTTACACTGCAGCCAAGTGAAAACAGAAGATGCTAGTGAACATAAGTAAGCCTAACCCCAACTTACAGAGCTATGGAAGGACGAAGAAATGGAGCAGGTAAATGGAAGCAAGAGGGCAGTGACATGCTGGTAGAACCAACAGGTTACAGGTTCCTGTGGGGCTGAAACACTGATTCGGATGAGGAAGAGTTGCTTTGTAAGTCCAAGTTCATCAACGGTCTTTGCCCCTAGATTTTTTTCGGGAATGTAAAGTCCACAGAGGCTGATGAGCAGAGTTTGAAACCACGAGGCACCAAGAGTCAGTTCCTGGTGCAGCTGGGTTTGCAGAGACCATGCTTCTTCCTTAGGGGAGCGGGGGCCCCACAGACCTCTGCCCCGGAAACCCCTCCTTCCCCTGCTGCGTGGAGTGCTGACGTGCGGCTCACCCTCCTTCGGGCCTGACCCTGACCCAGGAGCTCCTCCCAGCTGCGGGGGCTGCGAACGCAGGCAGCCCTCAGACTGTCAATGTCCTCGATTGTCTTTGCAACTATCTCTCCATCTCAAGGTCACGTCCTCTTCCCAGGGGGGGCAGCCAACACCTAATGACTGGTCAACATGAGGGTGCAAAGGCCCTGTCACCTCATTCCAAATTTGAACAACTCTGAAGGGCCACGCCAACTCTGGAGCTCCCCCGGGGGTTAGCCGCGGCCTTCATTGAGACTGCTTGCAGCTCAGTTCTCCGCTGCCCAATTCCACGTCCCGCCCTTCCAGTCAACAGGTCTTGGCCCCAAGGACATGTGGTGATAAGATTCCCATGCACTCATCTCCCTCCACCTGAGAATCTCCTTCCTGGGGAACCCAGCCTGCACGTCTGCCCAAGTCCCCCAAGGTCACAGAGAGGAGGCCCGCTCACCAGACTTGGGGTTGCAGAGCACAGGGGGGCTGCTGCTGAGCGTGGGGCTGCTGCTGAAGTAGCCACTGCTGCCACAGCTGCTCATGCTGCTCCTCCTCACCGCAGACACGATCTTGATCTCCTTGCTCGGGCTGACTGCGGGCACAAAACGCATGGTCACTGGCGGCAGGGGACCCTAGAGTTCGTGGGCTGTCAGCCGCAAGGCACAGCGAGGCAAGTCACCTGTGCCCATAAAAGCACCCTGGCTTCAGAGTTAGCAAAGCAAGGATTTGAATAGCAGATCTGCCACTTACCAACCGCACAATCTGCGGCCATGCCCTTCAGTTCTGGGAGCCTCAATTTTCCCTGCTGTTGAAGTGGGAATAATGCCGTCTCAGGATTGGTACGAGGAGTGGATTCCATAGTGTAGATAGAAGTACTTGGCGAAGTAAAACATTATTTCAAGAACCACTAAGTCCATGCTTAGCAGTCCCTGGCAGGGGGTAAATTCAGCTCTGGCTATACACTTAATGAATTAACAGCACTAATAAATGTTTCCTGATTTCCTATGAAATCGTGAATCACCCAGAGCCACAGAAGAGGAAATGAACACACACAGCACATATTTAGGCTTTGAAAGTGGATGTGAGTCAGAGGCTTCAATGGCCTGATCTGGTTCTCTCTGCCATGAAGCTGGCTGGCTCTCAGCAAGGGAGAGGGGCGCCAGGCACATGAGAGCTGTCCAGAAGGTATGCAGCCATGTGCTATGAACACCAGATACATTTATTGAAGAAGATACAAGATAACAAGAAACATTGCACGCAGGACAATGACGCCTCAGTCCCTTCAAAGTAAGCACCTGGTGACCTCACACAGTTTTCCCAGCGTCTCTTCCACTGTTCAAAAACACTCTGCAAAATCCTTTGTTGGAACTGCCATCAGCTGCCCTGTCATATTTTCCTGAATCTCATTGAGGGTCTGAAATCACTTCCCTTTCAAAGGTGATTTTCGTTTTGGGAAAAGCCAGAAGTCGCAGGCTGCCAAATCTGGGCTGTAGGGGGACTGAGTCACCTGGGAAATATGATGTTTCACCAGAACACTCTGCATGAAATGTGATGCATGAGCAGGAGCATTGTTGTGATGAAGCTGCCAATCACCAGCTGCCCATAGCAGCAGCCATTTTTGTTGTATTGCATCTCTCAACCGAAGAAGAGCATTGAGGTAGTACTCCTTATTAATTGTTTGGCCTGGAGAGGCTTACTCGTATGGACTACACCTTCCCAATCAAAAAACACAGTTAACATGGGTGGTCTTGATCTTACTGCAAATTCAAAGCGTTTGTGCCTCAAACGCTTCACTCATTGCATTGTCCCTGAAAGCCTTCTAAATCATCTGAATAGTTTCTGCAGAGGAATGTTCAAACTTAATGCAAAATTTGATGCAGATTTGTTGCTCTACTTGCTCAGTCATTTTGAATGCGATGGCCACACAGTACACATGCTCACTCAATGGCATCTACCACCCCCACTGACTAGTACAGTGAAGTCATCATGGCTCACTCATGCGCATTCCAGTCCACTCTCCTTGGCTGCCAGGCTACATTTATGCTGCACAAACTGTTCTCGTTATATTAACAATGATGAATGAAAGAAGCCAATGCAGAGAACTCAGCTTAGTGCCAGGAATGGGAGAGGCACAAAATAAATGCTGGCTTTTATGGTGACCTTGGTTACTATATCCGCCTTCTCATCATCATTCCTTATTCAGGTCTGTTGGTCCCATCTGAGAAACAGGCATACCTTAGTACAAGTACGAGCGCAAATAGTTACTCTGAATTTGCAGAAGACCACACCTTAGGGTGCCTGAGTTATTGTGAGAATTAAATGAGAAAGTTCATGCAACCAAGCTTGACTCAGTGACAGGGGCACAGAAAATTCTCAATATAGTCTCAAGTGTTCTCATTGTCACTTCCTATAACCAAAACAGCCACAGTCACTTTGCCCTCAGACTAAGCCCCAGGCTTCCAGACCTTTGGCCAACCATGGTCAATGCCAAGTTTTCAGAGGAGCTAAGATACCCCTTGAAGCACCTCAGCCTCTTACACAGAATGACACATCAAGTTTACTTCTTCTGAATGAGTGCGATGGTCTTGGTGAACATCAGTCACCATAGTTCCTGTCAGGGTTAATTGTCAGGATGAGGCTGTCTGACCTGACATGGGATGTTCAGGCTGCTGTGCTTTGTGAGCCCCTGTGTCTGCTCTTCATAGTTTTTCTTTGTTTTGTGTCACATGTACATAATGGATTGACATCAGCTGCCTTCTAGTTATATATGCCCTCAAAAGTCTACGTTCATCCTTAAAATATATGCATCCTTAAAATATAAAAAGCTTAAAAAATAGAGCTTTACAATGTTGTGATTTAGAACACTGGATGACTGATGATAACAATTGTTTATAAATGAAGAGTAAATAAAGTAGAAGTGAGAGCTTGAGAAGTCTCCTATGATTCAAATACATAATTTTACAACAAACTTCATGATACCCAATTTCACTCCCCAGGAACAATCTGTTTTTTTTTTTCTTTTGCATACTCATTGATTATGCATAAATCAAAACTTGCCAGAGAACAGAATTTCACAAAGGGGAATTATTACTGTATTATTTGTTAAAAGCCAAAAGCATGTGATCAAATAGACCATGGAACTGACCTACCTGACATAAAACTGGTAGACTTCCGATTGTCGTGGCTCTGCTTCCTCAGGCAGAAGGGACTGTCATGTGTTTCCTGGGAGGGGGATTTCTCATTGAGCAGCTCCATGAGCCTTCGCCTCCGCCGGAAGTTCATTCTGAACTGGTAGAGAAGGTTGCTGTCCACGAATGGGTGCTTGTTGGACACTGGGGAGAAGAAACAACAGATGAGGACTGTCTGGCATCCTGGCCATCGAGCGCTGCAGGAGAACGACTCCAGCAAACAGGGACAAAAGATGTAAAGAAAGAATTTAGAACTTCCGGTCAAGATGGCAGCAAATGTGGTACTCCCATTCTTCCACAGCCACATCAAAACTATTCAATACAACTAAGCTACAGAACAATCACCATTCAGAACCACTTGAAATCTAGCTGAACAGAAGGTCTACAACCAAGGATATAAAGAAGAAGCCACGTCGAGACTGGTAGGAGGGGCAGAGACGCAGAATGGCCTGGTCCCACCCCCACGGATGGCGGATAAAAACTGGGAGTGGGAGAGATATCTGTGCTGTGGAAATACCCACAGATGGATTTAATAGGTTTTATTTTTTGAAGAAATTTTAGGTTCACAACAAAACTGAGCAGAAAGCACAAAGAGATCTGATATGCTTTCTGTCCACCCCCCCAACATACAACTTCCTCTACTGTCAATTATAAATACTGTTATCGTTAGTTACAACCGTTGAAACTATATTGACACATCATTATCACCCAAAGTCCATAGTTTACATTAGGGCTCACTTTTGGTGTTATACATTCTATAAATTTTGATGAATGATATTTATCTACTATTATAGTATTATAAAGAATAGTTTCACTGTTCAAAAAATCCTCCATGCTCTGCCTATTCATCCCTCTATCCTCCCTAACTTTGGCACTCACGGATCTTTTTATAGTCTCCATAGTTTTGTCTTTTCCAGAATCTCATGTAGTTGACATATATTATAGAGGCCTTTTCAGATTGGCTTCTTTCACTTAGTCATATGCATTTAAGGTTCTTCCGTCTTTTCATGGCTTGATAGCTCATTTCTTTTGAGCGCCAAATAATACACCATTGCCTGGATGTATCATGGTTTATTTACCCATTCACCTACTGAAGGACATCTTGGTTGCTTCCAAGTTTTGTAAATATAAATAAAGCTGCTATAAATATCCATGTGCAGACTTTTGTGTGAACATAAGTTTTCAAATACTTTGGGCAAATACCAAGGAGCATGATTGCTGGATCATATGGTAAGAGTCTGTTTAGTTTTATAAGAAACTGCCAAACTGCCTTCCAAAGCGGCTGCACCATTTTGCATCCCCCCCCCCACCCCCCCCCCCCCACCCCCCGCCCAGCAGTGAATGAGAGCTCCTGCTGCTCCACCTCCCCTCCAGATTTGGCACTGTCAAGTGTTTTGGATTTGGGCCATTCTAATAGGAGTGCAGTGATACATCGTTTTGATTTGCAAGTCCCTAATGACATATAATGTTGAGCATCTTTTCATATATTTATTTTCCATCTGCATATTTACTTTTTAAAAAAAATTAAAGTTGGGGACAGTGAAACAAGGAAGGGCTTAGAATAAAAGAAGCAACAGAAGAGCCTAGGAATGGCTGCTTTGGCTCCCTGGAAATGTTCTAGGAAAGAAATGTGCCAAGGTGGGCTGTTTCAGCTCACTGGGAAGTCAGAGGAAAGGGGGCTTTGGGGACAGGTTCAGGGAGTTAGCCCACGACGAGCTGCTGCTGTCCATTGTTATCCTGGTTGCAAGCCTCATGGGGACCCTAAGAATTTAGGGGATGCGTGCCTGTGGGAAGAAGAGGGGGAGGGAAAGGCGTGGGCATGCTCCCTGGGAGGAGGGCACCATCTGTATATGTTCTTTGGTGAGATGTCTGTTCAAGTCTTTGGCCCATTTTTAAAATCAGGTTGTTCATTTTCTAACTGTATATTTTTAATAACAGTCCTTTTCAGCTATGCCTTTTGCAAATGTTTTCTCCCATTCTATGGATTGTCTCCTCATTCTCTTCATGGGTTGTTTTTTAATTATTAAGTTGTAATAGTTCTTTATGTATTTTAGATACAAGCTCTTTTTTGGGATAAATTGCTTCCAAATATTTTCTTCCATCCCATAAGTTGTCTTTTCTCTTTCTTCATGGTATACTCCGAAGCACAAAGGTTTTTTAATTCTGATGATGTCTATTTTTCTATTTTTATCTTTTAAAATAAATTTTTCCTTTTGTCACTTGTGCTTTTGGTGTTATGTCCAAGAAACCATTCTATGTGCACGCTAAAATGACAATTTTTGAAATAGTTCTTTCCATAAACACAAAGAAAAGTGGGGTCTGTATGAACTGGCAAAGTAGCAACATTTCGTAAATATATGCACATGACTGAATGCCTTATCCATATTATTTACTGAGAGCTTAAATGTGGAAGATGAAGTGGAGATTGGGATGGGAGAATTTATTAGCACTTTTAAATCCAGTTTGTAAAAATACTTTACTTTTCTAATCAAAAAGTTTTACATGTTCATTTGGAAAAATTGGAAAATATAAAAGAGCTGCCCTGCCTCTAACACAATAGAACTAGATCCTTCCATCTACCTATCTAATTATGTTGAACAAAAAACAGGCAATTACCAAATTTGATGGAACATTTTCCACCTTTTTTTCCCCAGTATTAAAATATTGATGCTTTCTTATTCATTTATACTAAGAATACATAGAGGTCAACCATGTTAAAAAAAATCATTCCTTTAAGAGCTGGGAACTGAGAAGTTATTTACATAACAAATTCTTGCTCCCAATACTCTTAAAGTCTAGCAGAGAAAATAAAACATGCTCATGTGTACCTGTAGTACAAGATAGAAATTTCAAGTGTCTTAAGAAAATCATATATAAAGTGCTATGGAAATTCACCTATGGGTGAAACAAGATTCATTAAAAATTGTCATTAACTAAAAAATAAGGGCACACATGTAAGAAGCTTGTTTGGGAGCACAGAGGAAAAACCCAAATCAACAATCAAATCCAAAGAATGAGAAGATAAAAGTGCAACATAACAAAGAATCCTAAAAGATTCCTTCAAGAAGAAAGGATAGTTCAGCCTCCTCTTTCTTACAGTTGATGAAAGTGAGACAATATCCCCAGCTGGTTAGTGAAAGAGGCACTATCAGCACCCAGCTCCGGACCCCGAGTCAAACGTTCTTTCCATTCCCTTGCAACACATCCCAGGTGATCACAGGTAGAGTTTCGCCTTGATTTCTGTGACCGGCACACGGCACCTCAGCCCAGCAATGCTTTATGAAGCTCAAGTCCCCATGGATTGTCTTCTCCAGCCCACTCTGCTGAAGTTTAGCCATAATAACGAAGCCAGAAGCTCACCACTTGCCACTGTACTAAACCCTTTATAAATATTATATTATCCTCACAATAATTCTGTTGGGTAGATATTACTATAATTTTCATTTCACAGTGCAAAAATTGAAACTTAAATTAGTTCAGTAACTTGCCCAAGGCCACAGAGCTAAGGCTTCTGAGTCCGAAACAGTACGTTTACCTAGAAATATAGGCCACACGAAATTGGAAGAGACTCTAAAGTTAGAATAAAATGTTATCTGACACTCACTCGCAGGTCCATCATAGAATTTATCTTTATTTTCTTTCTGTCACTCACAGACTTAGCAATAGGCAGTCTTCTTGTGGCACCATATTGTAAGTAACATGAGGGTGGAGGGTTTAATGATGGGGAGCACATCCCTTTCCCCCAGGCTGTGGTTTAATCACTGTGGCATCCTCAAATACTAGACTACTATGTGTTTGGCTGCAGGTGCTCAGTAAATGGCTGGAAGGAAATCATCATGGTGGGCGGCCAGAGGAATAAGCATCATGTCCAGGATACAGCTAACTTTGAACTATTTAGTTGCTAGTCTACACAGCAGTTCCCCCCAAACCAATCTGTGGGCTGATGGCAGGTCATGAAGAGTTTGCTGGGGCCGTAATGGGTGTGGGTCAGTGGATTGGGTGCCATCCCGCAAACCACAAGGTCACCAGTTCGATTCCTGGTCAGGGCACATGCCTGGGTTGTGGGCTGGGGGGTGATCAAGAACAATGTTTCTCACCTTCTCTTTCTCTCTCCCTTCCCCTCTCTCTGAAAAATAGTCTTTTAAAAAAGAAGAAGAGTTTGCTAGGATATGGGATAATTGGAACATTAAGGACAATGTATTTTGTTTTTTTCCCCTATAACTAAGCAAATTCTATTTAACGACTTCCTCCTGAAATTATATCATCATTTTTTTGTTGTTCATTTATTCATCCACTTATTCAACTAACATTTATTGAGTTAGCTGGATTATGTGCTAGGTACTTTTTTTGTCCAGTGTTTTATGAAATGACAGTAAACACAGTCATTTTTTTAAAATACTCATTCTTGGCAATTTTTTTTTTTGGACTGTGAAATTGAAAACTCTGTAAACCACTAGGAAAATAATCTAATACAACTCATCAAGTATCATATTAACTCCTTTATCAATAAATCAATAATGCTAACTAATCCAACAGCCTCCTTGGGTATTTCACAAACAATTCCCCTTCTAAATCAACACCAGCAAATGCAATCTACGATTGTAACTGTATTTATCACTCACATTTGTTAGTTAACACTTTTTCTGGTTACATGAATATCAGAGTCTCAGAAAGGGGGGTCCCTATTAAGAGAGTACCACACTTAACCTAATGATTCATATGGGTGTTTCACAGTCTTTAAATGATTCACATGCATGTTTCATAGTCACTTTGGCTAAATGAGTAATGTTGGCCACGAAGACCAGTGCACTTGATTAGCTGGTAGTTCTGCATGGTCCTAGTAAGTAATACATTTTGGACTCAGTAGATGATGAATGCACTCTGGGCCAAAGATAAGCCAATTATATTTTGATATGATATCTACAAATAGTGGCTCTTTGGTAGATAGTCAAATATTTACATAAATTTACCACATCACTACATTCAATAACACTATAATAAAATTTCCTAGATAATTTTTTTTTTTATTTCTGGCAACCTTTTCTGGATTTATTTATTTTTTTAATTGACTCTGGCAATAGTATCTTCAGTTATCACCTGAAAATACATAGCTGTTTATGTTATTAACATCTACTCTTTTCTCT